AAAATACTCTATAAACTCTGGCTGCAGGCAAGGCTGTAGGGTATTTTCTTAATTAGTGATTAATGGACCCCAGCCCATTGTGGTTGGCGCCATCTTATAGAACCCAGAAAGCAGGCTGAGCAAGCCATGTGGAGCAAGCCAGTGAGAAGCACTCCTCCATGGCCTCAGTATCAGCTCTTGCCTCCAGGTTCCTGCCCTGCTGGAGTTCCTGTCCTGACTTCCCTCAGTGATGGACTAGAAGCTGTGAGCTGAAATAAACCCTTTTCTCCCCGAGTTGCTTTCAGTCATGGTGTTTAACATAGTGGTAGAATGACAGCTTCTATGCTAACTAGAAAAGGTGATAGGATAAACCCAGAGCAAGAAAGAAACAATAAAGAGAGAAACCAATGGCATGAAAACAGAAAGACCATCATCATAAAACTAAGGCGCCTCTAACCACTCTGACCGAGAGAAATGACCAACTGCAGGATAAGGTGTAGCCTCCACAGAGCTTCTGCAGACAATGAGTGTATTGCAGACAACTGTGTAAAAGCCAGGGCTGTTACACAGAGAAACTCTGTCTTGAAAAACCCAAAAAAAAGCAGGAGAGAGAGAGAGAGAGAGAGAGAGAGAGAGAGAGAGAGAGAGAGAGAGAGAGAGAGAGAGAGCATGTAACAGAACTAATGTGTGAAAATCATTCTGGGGGTAGTTTTTCAAGACAGGGTTTCTCTGCTTTGGAGGCTGTCCTGGAACTTACCCTGTAGACAGGCTGGCCTCGAACTCACAGAGATCCGCCTGCCTCTGCCTCCTGAGTGCTGGGTTTAAAGGCGTGGACCACCAATGTCCGGCCAGAAATCGTTTTTATTAGGGGAAAGGGAATAGGAAAAGGAGAAGGCAAGGGGGAGATTGGCCTCTGAAGACAGGAACAGCAGAAGAAAAGAGACGTAGAAAGGAGAAGGGAGAGACAAAAAGACAGGCAGAGAGAGAGAAAAAGAAAGATGGGAGGTGGGCAAGACCCACCCTTTAAAAGGGAACATAGCAAATGTGCACAGGTGGCTGCAGCTGAGGGTGTATCCTATCAGGACCCCAACGGCAGGCCAGCACAGATGTCTGAATAGTAACACTAGGTTCAATCCCCAATAAGAATACTAGGCATGTTGTGTGCCTATAATCCCAGCACTCGGGAGACTAAGGCAGGATTGCTAAAAGTTATAGGATGGTAACCGGGCGTTGGTGGCACACGCCTTTAATCCCAGAACTTGGGAGGCAGAGGCAGGCGAATATCTGTGAGTTCGAGGCCAGCCTGGTGTACAGAGCCAGTTCCAGGACAGCCTCCAAAACAATACAGAAAAACCCTATCTCGAAAAAAAAAAAGTTATAGGATGTCTGGTCCAAGACAGTCAGAACTACACAGAGAAACCTTGTGACTGGAAGAATTTACATCTAGAATATACATGTGTGTGTGTGTGTGTGTGTGTGTGTGTGTGTGTGTGTGTGTGTGTGTGTGTGTGTGTCTGTGTGTATCCCACCAATTTGAAATTTGGGTTTTTTGTTTTCTTAAACAGGGTTTTACTCTGTAGGCCTAAACTGGCCTAGAACTCATTATATAATCCAGACTGGCCTGAAACTCTTGGCAATCCTCTTGCATCAGCCTCCCAAGTGCTAGGAATCTGGGCATGTACCACCACAAGCAGTGTACAAACTTTTTGTGCTAGGGATTGAACCTGAGGCTTCATATTTACTAGGCCAGTAATCTCTTGATGAATTACAGTTGCAGCCATACAAGCCATGTGAACACAGGTACCACAAAGGCCAGAAGAGGCTGTCCAATCCCCTAAAGGCAGACAGGTATAAGCTGCCCAATATGACTTCTGGGCACTGAACTTGAGCTGTCAGAGCAGCAAAGGCTCTTAAACACTGAGTCGTCTCTCAAGGCCCCTCCCTTTTTTAGAGACTAGGTTTTCCTAAATTGCCTAGCTGTGCCACCAGGACCTGCTCACTTTGCTAATTTCTTGAAACATTAAACATGTTGTAACCATGTGACCCATTCTAAGCCATCTCCACAGCCATGCTGAGGATTGAACTCAGGGCCCTGCACATGTCACTGAGCTTCTGCCCCAGCATTTATTTTGTTTCAGTTATGGTTTTTTGTTGCAGGATAAATAAAAGACCCAGAGACAGATATTTGGATTCAAATTTGAAGCTGAAGATCAGAGAAGCAAAGTGCCGATCGCTAGCTTCTTACCTCTACCTCAGCCTGAAAGGGCTGAACCTGTCTCCACGAGCTCTCACCAAGCCTCAGCTGCTGCCTTTCCTCAGTGTGGATGGAGGATGAATGCTTTCCTGTAGCGAGAGATCTTACTGAGTACCCGTGGCACTGACCATGGCGTGGTCACAGATGTGTACATGAGCGTGTGGGATTTTGGTCTGGAGTCAGGGACAGGCTGTCTCTCTGGGTTCCGGTCTTGTCACAGAGGGCAGTTGAGCTTGGATCCTCCGAGTATTGATCCTGGGTTATGGATTTCTCATGTAAGTGATTTCTCCCCAGTAAAATTAAGCTACATCATCCCAATCCCGTGTATCATAATTTGTACAACACCTTCCTATCTTCAGTGTGGCTGGAGAATGAATGCCGGCTCTGAGACCTTGCTCCTGTCTTATGTACCTCCCTGATGCTGGGGTTAAAGGCTGTGATTCCCAAGTGCTAGGATCAAAGTCATGAGCTGTTACTCTTCACTCTTGTGTAGGCCATGGTGGCCTTGACCTCTTAATCCTGAGTCCTGGGATTAAAATGTGTACCTGGTTTCTATGGCTTGTGGCTGACTTTGCTTTCTGAATCCTCAGGCACGCTTTAATAAATTATAAGTAATATGTCACCACAGTTTTTTATTTCTCTTTTTTGGTCTTTTGATACAGGGTCTCAATGTAGGCCGGCCTCAATGTAGACAAGATGTCCTCAAACCTGTGGTGATCCCTCCGTCTCTACCTGCTAGAGTTACTGATGATGTTCATTACCCCATTTGTCTTGCTGTATTTAAACAAACACCTTGATACTGTAGACTTGGAGTACTATTCAGCAGAAAAAAACAATGGAATCCTGAGATTTGCAGGCAAATGGATGACACTAGAAGAAGACTGATGACCAAAGGGGTTAAGACTGAGCTGGTTTAACCCCCAGAAACAGCTGACCTGACAAGGGTTAACTCTTGAATCCCAGGCATCAGCCTAGGAATCCAGCATGGGACTGATCAAGACCCCCTGAATGTGGGTGTCAGTGAGAAGGCCTAGGTAATCTATTGAGCCTTGGGCAGTAGATCAGTATTTATCCCGAGTATACAAATGGACTTTGAACTCCCATCCAACAATGAGAGATGCACTCTCACCCTGAACTCTTGGGGGAGGGTCTAGTCCCTGCCCTATATGAAATGACAGACTATGGACACCCCCATGGAGGACCTCACCCTCCCTGGGGAAATGAGGGGATATTGGGGGGGATTGGAGGGAGGGCACGGGAGGAGGGGAGGGAAATGGAGAGGGACCTGGAACTGACTTGTGAAACAACCTTGTTTCTAATCTAAATTTAAACTTAAAAATAAATAATAAGAAAGAAAAAATGAAGAAAAATAAATAAATAAATAGATAGATAGATAGATAAATAAAAGACAAAAAAAAAAAGCAAGCACAGTTCCCAGCACCCACATCAGCCTGTTCACAGCTCCCTGGAACTCCAGCTCCAAGGGATCAATGCCTCTGCTCTCCAAGGGCATCTGTGTAGTTTTTTGTATTTATTTTATTTATTTATTTATTTATTTATTTATTTATTTATTTACTGTTCTGTCTCTTACTCTTTGGGGGGGCCCAAATAAATGCATGGAGACTTATTCTTACTTATCAATGTCCAGCCTTAGCTTGGCTTATTTCTAGCCAATTTTTTTTCTTGGTTTGTTTCAAGACAGGGTTTCTCTGTGGCTTTGGAGGCTAGCTCTTGTAGACCAGGCTAGTCTCGAACTCACAGAGATCAGCCTGCCTCTGCCTCCCGAGTGCTGAAACTAAAGGTGTGCGCCACCACTGCCCAGCCCTAGCCAACTTTTCTTAACTTACATTATCCCAGTCTACCTTTTGCCTGTGGGCTTTTATCTTTCTTTCTTTCTACCTTTCTTTACTTCTTTCTCTATGACTTGCTGTGTAGCTGGGTGATTGGTCCTTGATGTCCTCTCTCCTTTTCCTTTTCTTTTTTTTTTTTTTTTTTTTTTTTGGTTTTTCGAGACAGGGTTTCTCTGTATTGTTTTGGAGGCTGTCCTGGAATTCACTCTGTAGACCAGGCTGGCCTTGAACTCACAGAGATCTGCCTGCCTCTGCCTCCCGAGTGCTGGAATTAAAGGCATGCGCCACCAACGCCCGGCATCCTTTTCCTTTTCTTGCTCCTCATTTTTTCTCTTCTCTTCTTTATTCTCTCGGCCTGGCAGACCCGCCTCTTCTCCTCCTGCCTTGCAATGTATTGGCCATTCAGCTCTTTATTAGACCAACCAGGTGTTTTAGACAGGCAAAGCACCACAGCCTCACAGTATTAAGCAAATGCAACACATCCTTGTATCATTAAGCAAATATTCCACAGCATAAACAAGTTAAGACATCTTCAACTAATATTCCACAACACACCAGCATTAGCCTGCACCTACATCCCCACAAACACACATACACATAATTAAAATTATTTTTTAAATGGCAAGTGTGGTGGCTTGAAAGAAAATGGACCCCAAAGGGAGCGGCACTATTGGGAGGTGAGGCCTTGTTGGAGTGGGTGTGGTCTTGTTGGAGGAAGTGTGTCACTGTGGGGGAAGGCTTTGGGGTATTATATATGGTGAAGATAGTGCCCAGTGTCTCAGACCACTTCCTGTTGCCTTCTGATCAAAATGTAGCCAGCGCCATGTCTGCCTGCATGCCATGTGGAGCTACGATGATAATGGACTGAACCTCTGAAAATGGAAGCCACCCCATTAAGCATTTTCCTTTGTAAGAGTTGCTGAGATCATGTTGTCTCTTCACAGCAATACAATCCATAACTAAGACAGTAAGTTGTCTGTTTTCCTTATGTGTTTATGTGTGGTGTGTGTGTGTGTGTGTGTGTGTGTGTGTGTGTGTGTGTAGAACGGCTTTAGAGCAAAGGCTACTTTGAGTCCATGGTGTGTCTAGGCTCAAGGCTGATGCTGGGATTCTTCCTGGATTGCCGTCCACCTTATTCATTGAGGAGAGTACCTCGAGCTTGCTGATTGACTAGTCCGGCTCGCCAGCTCACCCCAGCCATCTCCACTGCACTCCCACAGCATTCATTTGGATTCTTGGGATCTGAAGTCAGTCTTCATGCTTTTGGGAAAGCTGCTTTTCCCACAGGGTCATTTCTACAGCGCAGTAATAGCTATCCTTGACTTTCTCTTTTTCCTCAGTTCTAGGGTACCAGGATCTCATATATGCTAGGCAAGTGCTCTATGCAGAACTATAGTCCCCGCCTTCTTGTTATTTTTAGTTTCTGATTTTGAAACTAGATGTCACTAAATTGGCCAAGCTGGCCTTAAATTCACAGGTAGACCTTGAATTTGTAGTTCTCCTGCCTCGGCTGCCTAAGTTACACCTGAGCTAACAGATCAGGTGGTTTTTTTTTTTTTGTTTTGTTTTGTTTGGGATTTTTTTTTTTGTTTTTATTTCAGTAGGGTCTCATTCTGTAACGCAGGCTGGCCTATAATTGTGTCAATGCTCCTGCCCCAGACACCCAAGTGCTAAGACTCAGGACTCAGGATTAAGAGGTCAAGACCACCATGGCCTACACAAGAGTGAAGACTAACAGAGCTCATGACTTTGATCCTAGGACTTGAGGATCACACACCTTTAATCCCAGCATTAGGGAGGTATGTAAGACAGGAGCAAGATTATATACATGAGCCACCATTGCAGGGTTAACTTTTTGAGGATCTCATGAAGCCAGGACATTTAGTGGAAGGTGATGAAGTCCTCATCCTCCTGCAGGCATGTCCTAAGTGCAGGGATTACAGACGGGAGGCACTCTGACTTCTTTGAATCTTGACTGCCTGTTATTGGCCTTTCCTTGTAATGGGTTCTACCCTATCCCAACACTGTCCCTGCTGCCTGATGTTGTCCATATCCCTGAGAGGACTGTGTGTACATGTCGCACGTGTTTTGTCTTCTTTAACAGGGAAAATTAAAGCATAAAGTTGTGTGACTCCCCTGCAGGCTTTACAACAGGCAGGGAAAAAAATAATAGATGAAGAGACAAAAATGGAACTCAGAGGTAGGTGGATATCTAAGTTCGAGGCCAGCCTAGTCTACAAAGTCAGTTCCAGGACAGCCAGGGCTACACAGAGAAACCCTGTCTTGTAACAGGCGCTGGACCAAGACTCTTAGAGTCTTGCCCAGGTCGTTTTACTTTAATCATATGTAAGCAAGCACAGCACAAGTTTGGAAAAAGATATTCAGATAACAATTAACTCAGCCCCAAGTGCACACTTTAAGACAGGTCTACACTGAAATTCTTTACTAAGTACATCAGACTTCTTTCACAAGAATGGCTACTGCTGTTCCCAAGATTTAGGGTCTAGGGAGCTTGACTGAGGTAAACAATGCCTGTGGTGTCAGGGTTGGCCCGGCCCTAACGTAACATAGATGTGGCTTATGCTGTTGTAAAGCACAAGTGGCCTCACTCTGAGAGTGGGTTTCGTGGTGTAAAAGCAGTGCTCACGACTCAGGGGAAAGGTCCTAGGTAAGTAGAAACAAATTCTGGGAAATACGAGCAGAGCCTGTCTCATCAGACAGCAAAGGATCACCAGGTGCTAGAACTACATCATTCCAGAAAGAGCAGCTACGCACCTGATTCCATTAGAGGCAAGTTGTGTTTTACCTTCCCGACTCCTCCAGTGCTTCTCCGTGTGCACAAGGCTTTTTGCCCTTTACATAAAGTCAGAGTTGATTGTGGTGAAAGACCTGAAGTTATCAGGCTTCAGGCTGAATACCCTGGTGACGTCCCGAGCTCAATAACCAGACAGTAGGATGCAAACCGCAAGAGGTTTATTGTTTACACAGGCGTCTGTGGGCGATTCAGCAGCCTTAGCTAACTGAACACGCCAGCCCTAGGACAGCTTTCTTTTTATATGCATACTTTTGGCAAGCAAAGTAATAGAGGTATTGTAAGGAGTGGAGCTACTACAGGTGCAGATCTGGGCAAGCAATAGGGGATTGTCAGAAGCGCGGGCATAAGTCATCCTCCCTGGAGAAACCACAAGGTCAGATGTACACTTATCTCTACAGCCTGCCGGTTTCCTTCGTTAGCACTCTGGACCCGATTCTTTCTAATCAGACCTTATTCCCTGCCTAGGGGAAGGGACCTTGGGGAATTTTCCACTGAGGCAACCTTCTGAGTCTCAAAAGGGGGGGGGTGTATTGAGGTTTTTCAGTGTGTGAATGTTTGTACTCGTATGTGGAAGCCAGAAGTCAGCCTCAGGTGTTGCTCCTAAGGAACTGTCCACCTTGGTTTTTTTGAGACAGGGTCTCTCATTCAGCCTGAAACTTGCTGTTGTGGTAAAACTGGCTGGCCACTGAGCCCAGGGATCTCCTAGGGATGGGATTATAAGCACTTGTCACCATGCCTGGCTTTGTTGTTTTTTCGAAGGGTTTCTCTGTGGCTTTGGAGGCTGTCCTAGAACTAGCTCTTGTAGACCAGGTTGGTCTCAAACTCACAGAGATCCTCCTGCCTCTGCCTCCCGAGTGCTGGGATTAATGGCATGCACCACCACTGCCTGCCATCATGCCTGGCTTTTTACATGGGTTCTAGTTTCTCACTCTAACATGGCAAGCATTTTGCCTACTCAGCTATCCCCTGAGCCTCAAGTTAGTTTGTTTTTCGAGACAGGGTTTCTCTGTATGGTTTGGAGGCTGTCCTGGAACTCGCTCTGTAGACCAGGCTGGCCTCGAACTCAGAGATCCGCCTGCCTCTGCCTCCCGAGTGCTGGGATTAAAGGCGTGCGCCACCAATGCCCGGTGCCTCAAGTTAGTTTTAAAAGAAAGTTCTTATTTGCAAAGGCATTTAATCATCTGGTGGGAAATAAAGGTGAAACTAAGCATTAGGACAGATATTGGGATTGTCTTCTCCCTCGAGTTCATTGGTTGTTTTATTCACTAGTTTTTAATTTAGAGAAATGTCTAGACCTTTGCATAGACAGGGTTGTAAGGGCAGGCCAACAGATGTGGTCAAGATGCATAGGTGTTTATTTTTCCATGTACCACGAGATTCAGGGGAAAATAGCTCAGCTGGGTACTACCTTCACCACGTTGTCGGTAAGGTGAGCACACACTCAGCCCTCCACTCCTTCGGTCTGCACATTCGTGTTCTCATGCCTCGCAGACAGGTTCCTGCCCTCCAGGGTGTCACGCTTGATATTCTAGGTGAAGAAAAAACAAAACAAAACAAAAGTAGAGCGCACAGCTTTTCCCAAGGCTTTGCTTAGAAGGCCATAGTCCTTCTTAGGGGTTTGCAGCTGCTTCTCATTCTCTTCAACTGGGAAGCAGAGCTCCCAGCTAAGGAGCTGAGTATTCTCCAGGCAGCCCATTGCCATCCAGAAATAAGGGCTCTGTTGGGAAGGCAGAGGAGAAACGGAGGCACAGGCAGCTGTTCCCTGCTCTACACTGAGGCTGAAGGGGAGGAAAGAAACAGTAGGTTTGAGCACTGTTCAGAACAACAAGGAACCCAGCTAGTGGAGAGATGCAATGGGAATTGTTAGAGGACCTTTCTGCTTACACCCTGGTGGCGTGCAAGTATGAGGGAAGGGGAGAGTTAGCTTTTGTGACAGTCTACTATTATACATCTATAAGAACCATGGAATCACCAAATGGCACTGAACAGATTATTTAATTGTAACTCCTTAATTTTTTTGTTTCTTTTTGTTTTGTTTTTTTTGTTTTGTTTTAAAGACAGGGTTTCTCTGTGTAACAGTCCTGGTTGTCCTGGAACTCGCTCTGTAGACCAGGCTGGTCTTGAACTCATCTGCCTCTGAGTACTGGGACTGAAGGTATGTGCCACCATACCCGGCTTAACTCTTTAATTCAATTGTTCCCAGAGTTAAGAATTCTTCAAAGTAAAGAAAGCAATGGCTGTGAAGGCTGCCATCAGTACAGTATTGCTCTTTTGCTCATGGATGAAGACATTTTCACCACCACAACAGTGGCTTCCGGCTGTAGGTCCCTTCAGTGCAGGAAGACAGCAGGTGAGGATGATGTTTGCAATGTACCTATGTTGAGGGGACCAAGAAACACTCGTCTCCCTGCAGTGGATGTTCTCTGTGACTCGCCCCTCATGCTGCAGTAGCCACAGAAGAATCGGGAGCCTCTGCTATCTCATCTCCCATAGGAAAGAGACTCCCCCAGAGCCCTACCAGGAGATGAATGTCTTTTTCTTCATTTGTTGAGACAGGGTCTCACTGTAGGCCAGGCTGGCATCGAGTTCAGTAATCCTCCTGCCTCAGCTTACTGTACCACCACAGCAGCAAATGTCTTTTCTTTTTAGCACTTTCTAGGTCCTTTATACTTAGGGTGGCTAGCCTGGTCTATATAGCAAGTTCCAAGCCAGCCAATGCTACATAGTAAGATCCTGTCTCTAAATAAATACTTTAAATATATAATAGAATATACCCTAATTATAGTACTAAGAAAATTATCTAATCATCTTCATATATAATATATATAAAGAAATTTTATGTGTGTGACAGTCTCTCACTCACTTTTCAGCTCAGGTTGGCCATAAACTCATAGCAATCCTTCTGCCTCAGCCTCCCAAGTGCAGGGATTGAAAGTAGGAGTACAAAGATAATCATTCAGGGCAGTATTATTGGTGACAAAAGAGTATGGGAAAAAAATATGGAAAACTTATATGTCCATCAGTAGATTATTAACATGACACACAATAAAATATTCAGGTTATACAACTACAAATATTTCTATGTAATTGATTACAAGTATCTCCAATATATGTTTTAAGAGCTCTCTCTCACAGGCTGGCCTACAGTGAGAGGGATTAAAGACATATGCCACCTCATTCAACATATGCTTTATAGTATATTATCTTTTGTATGAAGTGGGAAAATAGATTCATGGAAACTTCCATTTTCATAGGGACACTGACTGGCAGAGCTTGAAGTAACTAATATGTGGTTATTGATTGGGGTGGGGTGGGTATGAAGGGGATGGATGGGAACAAGATGCAGGGAAGGGGGAAGTCAGGGCAGTGTGAGCTCATGAACTCTTAAGACAAAAACATGTCAGCCAGGAAGTGTTTGTTCAGCGGCAAGTGGTACCGAATGCCTTACTTAGGCAAAAGTGGTGGCTGTGACTTCCACAAGAGCCACTTCAGTGGTTGATAGCAAGAAAGGCTGATTAGAGTAAAAGAAAAATAAAAGAAGCAAAGAAGTAAACTTTGAATTTGAGGTTTTGCAGGAGTGGAGGAGAGTTGTTCAGAAAAATGGAGGCAAGCCAGAGAGGGAAATGAGATCGAGAGGGCTTTGAGATGGGTGGACCTAAGGGAGTGAGCAGGAAGAGAGAACATGACAATACAGTGATGGAGGAGAGATGACCATAAGTACAAGTTGGTGAGAAAGACACAAATAGATCTGGCCATAACTGGGAGCCCTCTCCATTCTGTCTCCACTTGAGAGCATGAAAAGTGCAAGTGGCCTAAGGAATGCTACTTCTCCTTTTACTTGGGGCCTTGTGTCTTCAAACAGAGTCCAATGTATCCCGGGTTAGTGTTGTGGAATGTTTAACTATGTAAAGGTGTGTTACATTTGTTTATGCTGCATTTGTTTAACTATGTAAAGATGTGTTGCTGTTTCACCTTGCCTACCTAAGGCACCTGATTGGTCTAATAAAAAGCTGAATGGCCAGTAACTAAGCAGGAGAGGAATAGGTAGGGCTGGCAGGCAGAGAGAATAAATAGAAGGAACAAAGAGAACAAGAGGAAGAAGAACCAGAGGAGAGAAAAAAGAAGAAATAGAGGGAGATACCCAGGGCCAGCCAGCCACACACAGAAGCAGCAGGAAAAGTAGGATACAAAGAAAGACAAACTCTAAGGCAAAGTGTAGATGAAGAGAAACAGGTTAAGTTATAAGAGCTAACAAGAAAAGAACTAAGCTAGGCTGAGCATTCATAACTAATAAGTCTCTGTGTCGTGATTTGGGAGCTGGTTGGTGATCCCAAAGAGAAGGCCTGGTACAGGTTAGTCTCATACTCAAAGGACCTATGGAGCCCAGGATGAACTTTAACGCCAGGTTCTCTGCCTTCCACTCCACAAACTGCTGGGATTACAGGCATTGGCCACCATGCCCTGCCCGGACTATTTTGAAATGGGGCAGGGGAGGCGGGTTGCTAAAAGGGATGGGGAGGATAATTCTCTAAACTTGGGCAATACAGCAACACGGGAACTCCTTTTCGTTTCCTACTTCAGAACTGAGATGCTGTTAGGTTTTATCCAGTGCTTTAGGGAAGCTGGGGTACTCCCACGATAATGCCCTGTACATGGGTTTTACATAAGTAAAACAATAGGCAAGCATTGAGTGGGCTACATCCCTAGCAGGATTCTGTGTATAAAGAAAAGCCTACCCTAAAATTTACAAAGGCAAAGTAGAAGAGTGAAAAAGACAGTTCTGAAAAACTTGTGCAGGAGGAATTACCTAGTCAGCTTTAAACTGATAGTTTTTAGTATTGTGACAGTATACTTGGAAGGAGGAAAAGCACATAGATAAATGAAACAGAAGACCTAGGTGAAGATTGATAGTTGACAAGTAGGCAAAAGCTATCCAGTGAAGGAAGAGTAACTGTTGCAAATGCTAGCGTATTGTATTGTCGATGGACAAACTGTAGGAATTAGCTAGCCAGCCAGTCTAGCTGAATTGGCAAGTTCCAGGTTCATGGAGACCCTGTCCATGAGATGGGTCAGGGTAAAGGCAATTGCCTCCATGGCAAACAACCTGAGTTTGTTTATGTAAGCCCTGGCTGTCCTGGAACTCCTCTGTAGACCATGCTGGCCTCAAACTGAGAGATCCAACCTGCCTCTGCCTCCCAAGTGCTGGGATCAAAGGCGTGTGCCACCATGCCTGGCTGATAAAATTTTAATAAATTTTTAAATGTGGAAAGCAATTGAAAAAGATACCTGATGGTGAACTCTGATCCCTACATGCTGGTTCATGTGTGTGTGCACACAATCACACATAGCACACAAATACAAAAGCACACATATAGTGTAAATGGGGGAGAAGCCAGGCAGGGAGCCTCAAATGGATCATAGACTTCAACATAAAACTACAAAATTAGATGCCGAAACAATCTTCATGACATAGTGTTAGTTCTTAGATAAGATGAAAGATTACCCATCTGATGACATATGGACAAATGAGACTTCAGAAAAGGTGGTTTCCCCCACATATACACTGGGTACAAAAAGCCAGATGTCCAATCTAAGAATGGCTCTGCCATTTCTCACACTTTAAGGCTCACAGTCCTCAATCCGCACAAAAACTGGTCATAAATTCATATGCAGCCCAATGAAGACAGCAGGTTTTTTTGTTTTGTTTTGCCAGTTAAAACCCGGAAAGAAACACAGGTGGCGGTGGCACAGTCCTTAATTCCAAAGGCAGGCAGGCCTGGAGTTTGACCTCCAGGACAGCCAAGGCTACACAGAAGCTGTCTCAAAAAAACGTCCAATGTCTTTCACTAGATGGACTTTCACTAGATGGACAAATACTTTTAAGACCGAAGATCCACCTTGCTCAGAAGTGAGTAAAAACAATCTGCAACAATCTGATCAAGTGTATTATGCTGAGTGAAAATCAGTCAAGCTCAAAAGGTCACAGGCTCCATTATGTAACAATTGTGACATGACATTCTAAAGATGTCTAAACAAATGGGAGGATGCCAGAGGTTAGAGACAAGGAAGACAGAGGACCTAGGTAGATGTGACTATAAATACAACATATAGCAGGAAAAAGATCGTGACATTTAGTTCTATGGAGTCACACAAATGTACATGTGGAAAACTACATAGAGCTACACACACACACACACACACACACACACACACACACACACACACACACACACACACACGAGCGGGTAACACACAAAAATGAAGCCAAGGGATGAAGGCTGCCCTGAAATCTTTCCCCAGGTGCTTCTCTTGCACCACGAAATTGAGAACCACAAGTGGGAAAATTAAGCTCTTGGAATTGATGGATTAATGTGAATACACACCCTTCTCCAATGGGCCAGACAGCAAGTTTAGTCAATGAACTTGGTTCTCAATCTGTGGGTCTGGACCCCTTAGTAAGAGTTGGACTATTTCACATGGGATTGCTCATCAGACAGCCTGCATAACAAATATTCACAATTCATAGCAGCAAAAACTAAGTAGCAAAGTAATTTTATGGCTGGGGGGGGGGTCACCACATGAACTGTCAGAGGGTCACATTAGGAAGGTTGAGAGCCACTGCCCTAAATGAACCTCCAGCACTTAAAGACCCTCAGGTACCTGGGATGAGTAGTACTTTAGCCAGGGTAAAGTGTCACAGTAGTCCTGTCACATGCCCACATTAAGATCCCTTAAAAGGGAGAACTGGGGATGTAGCTTGGTCCCCCAGAAGACAGTACTCATCTACTAGTTGTTTCCGCTTTGGGACAATAGCTGGGAACTGTCACACAAACTATATGCATCCTCACTTCAGACCTGAGAATTTCACAATCAGAATCACTTGTTACATGGCAAATTAACCTGTCAGACATTTGGAAACATTCTGACCAAGAAAACATGGTTCAAACTTGTAACATCAGGCAGGGCCTCTAACAATTGGACTAGAGTGGCAGACTTAACTATCATCCGTTAGATTAATACACCTGACTTTTTACCCAATTCATCCTTGCACTATTCAGCTACCTTCCCTATCAGATATTTCAAAGACACTCACATTGGTGACATGTGCCTTTAATTCTAGCACTTGGGAAGGGATCTCTGGAGTTCTAGACCAGCCTGGTCTACAACAGAGCTAGTTCTTAAAAAGCCTTTCCTGTCTCAAAAAACAAAAGTAAAAGATGCTTAATAGGACATCATTAATCCCAGCATTTTTGAGTTAGAAACCCTGTCTCAAAAAAAAAAAAAAAAAGCCTAACAGTACAAAACATACAAATACATGCAATCCTTCCATTCCACTGCTTTATCAAATACACAGGGCAGTCATTCTGTCTCCAAGGCATTTTAAGAAATGGACAACCAAATGACACATTACAATTCAGGCAATAGCACAACTTTATTTTCACTTCTAAAGTAAACCACAATTGACAACAACAAAGGAGACTGTGCAGTTCAACTTTTTATTTTAATAAAACCAGAATATGCACAGCACATGCAGTGCTAGCATCTAAACTAATACAATAAGCAACTACTAAAGCTACAGTGACTTGAGGGTCAATCTTTACATTCAGCAAGTTTAAACCCATTCTTAATTTTGAAACATAACTGAAAATATTGCTTGCTGATATAACTTGCTCAAATGCTATTGCTGAATGTCCAAGTCACTGAATATGCCAATACAACAAAGATAACCACATGTTTGAGGATTGCAATGTGCCAGACATTCACTGAAAAAAAATACAACTAAACAAAACTCACACAACAAACATCTGAGAATCTGGACACTTTGTATCAGTGTTTTGAAGTGTTTCATTAATATCTTAAGACAAGTGTATCAAAACCTTGGCATGATTTAGTTTCAAGTCGCCAATTTGTTTTTACTAACATCAGAAAGTTATGGCTACACCGCCAATGCCGGGTCTGCTTAATTTGACTTAAGAGTTTATTATGACTTAACATTAAAAGCTCACACTACCCCGAAATATATAATTTCACGCATACGGTGACATTCAACATTCAAGTGCCAGTGTTTTTGTACTGTCTTTTGGTCAAGTTTCTTTAAACTTTCAAAGAATCACTTTTAGGCTTACAAAAATAAATATTTGTCAAAATGTTCAATAAATATTACATAAAACTAGCAGCAAAAAGTATCTAGAAATCTGTCGTGTGCAAAGTTTTCTTCCCAACTATCATTCCCATGGTCCCAAATAAATTTTAGAATCTAGTCCCATCCCTTTCCTAGACAAGCTGCGTTCAACAATCTCCAAGAGACAAAATAAGATTGGAAGTTTAAGGACACGCACACAAGACATATATATAAAATTCTCTGAATGTGCAATAAAAGAAGTACTTTGTAAAAAGTTATGGGCAAAATGTACAAGGGCCTAAACCTAGACTAATTGAAATAGCACCATAACAAATGACCTCAATACTGTCAAGTGCACCTACTTAATAAAAGTTTTAGAACAAGGCACAATACACTTGAAAATCTATTGCACTTTAGGAAATTTTTGCCGTCTTCCTATGCCACTGCAAAAAGATTGAGCGTTTTGATCACTGCATTCTGGTCACAAAATTAGCCCAGAATTCCAAGTGGCATAGGCATTTTAGTGGTGGACAATGCTCGTCTTTGGCCAGATTTAGCATAAACAGACTATAAATACAATGGAAACCTATGCAACTAAAACTGACTAAACTGCACTGTAGAGCAGAATTGACACCTTGTGCAGTTATGTACATATTTCCAACCTGTGTGATCTCAAATTTCAGTTTGTTACTCTTCTGGAGCCATTTTTTTACAAAGTCTATAGTAAGCCAGTTTATCATCTCAACGCAGCTTGAACAGAGTAATGTGAATCGGCATTTAAAATAAAGCCTGCTGCATAATTCTTCCTGTTCATCCCCTCTTGACCAAAAAACATCAACACTAGCATGCGTTATTAGACCAAAAATCATCCAGAGCCCTAAATGAGGGCTGGTCATTGCTGTGGTCAGCCATTCTACCATTTCAATTTCTTTTATGGCAGGCATTTAAAAAGTCTAAGTAGATGAATTCTCCTAAAAACCTATTTCAAGTTATCAGACCTTTAAACTTTCCCTGTAATAACATGCCCACATTTGGCTAGCTCATAGTTAACGATCTGCCTAAACATTGAAAGAGGATTGCTGTATTTACTTGCATTAACTTTGAGAACAGTGCTTTGAATGTATGCATGTATTCATACATCACCTCATCATGACTGGAATGGCTTGTTTAAAGACTATTATCAGGTTCTAAATACCTATCCAGGATAGAGTGAGCAAATCAGAACTTTAACTTAATACAGTTTGCCACATTAGAAACTAATTCCATTAATATGCTTCAAGACGTTTGTTGTTTGTTTTTCCCCAATCTGCAAGTATCAAAGCCTTGATGAAGGCTACCACTTAAGTTTTTTCCTTATATTTATGGATGAATCGATGATTCCTGTTAAGTTGTATCACACCTGTGTGCCAAGGTTTGATTTTAGCCCAAGTTCAGTAAATTTATTTTGTCAAAAACAATTGGTATCTTGAGCATTACTGAGCCAACAGGACATCAAAATAAAAAGTTGTCTAAAGTTAAAGGCACAGTACATTAACAAACAAATGATCCTCAGTCACAAATTATAAATGCAGTTTGGGATAGGGGTAGGCGGGAGGGGAGTTAATCCAAACTACAGCAATGAAGTCTTCAAACCACCTTCGAACAGGGCTGCTGATTGTTCCTTTCATCTTTACTTGTGACCTTGAGCTCCCTTAAAAAAAAATTTCAGTGGAGAATCACAGCTGGTAATGTACTGCGAGTTCTTGAAGCTACACAAGGTATAGTCTGGCTAAGTTACATGTGGTTTCCATATTAGCTTGTGTTTGGCAGGGTGACCTACTGCAAAGCAGGCTCAGTTACCCCACCAGTCAACCCCCTGGGAGTTATAATTTCCTCCATATCCATCACTGTTGTAAAAGCCTCCATAGCCACCTAGTGAGAGATTTAAAAAGAAAAAAAGAAATTAATTAAGTCATCTATGGTTAGCAACAATCATTTCCTTCAGAAGTTATTAAAAGCAATCTATAATGCTGAATTTCCCTGAATGGTCTTAATAAAAATTATTATCATGAGATTTAAAACAAATACTACCTCCACCAAATCCTCTGCTGCTGCCATGGCCACCTCCACCACTGCGACTGCTGCTTGAGCGGCTGCTGCTGAAGCTGGAACTGCTGGCACCACTACTTTGTCGATAGTCTCTGGCACCAAACCCTCCACTAAATCGACTGCTGGAAGAGGCAGGATAAAGACTGATGTTGGCTCACAGGAAGGAAGGTATCCAACCCAACTCTTGTCAAACTTGCTAATAATTTCTAGTTCTTACTTACAAATTCCTTATGCAGCCATACTTTACAATACTGTTTTCAAAGGTATAAGCATTAATGGGCTGACACTAATTTATTGTAAACAAGTTTTAAAATACCAGTATGAATCATGTATGTACACACACACAGTTACCTCTTAGATCGTCCACGACTGCTACCCTTGTAGTGGTGTTCAAAAGCCATGTTTTCTAACCATGATGGCACTTCTTGTTTTGCCTCAACAAGAAGATCCAATAAATCCTTAGTAATATTTATGTTCCTTTCATTAAAGAATGAAGTGGCAAGACCTAAAACAGTTCCAAAAGGAAAAAGTAAAGATCTTCCAGAAAGGTAGCTTACCATTCTTACTTTTCTTATCACATAACAAAAAGAAATTACTATTCAGCTATTT